TAGATGGCTTAGTTAAAAATATTACCTAATTAAAATGAAACATTATTTAGTAGAACTATTTTTTTTAATAAAGAAATATAGGAATGCAATAATATATAAAATCTTCATCCAAACTTTGGCAACTTTGATGGCGTGTCACTAGGGGTGTTAACGGGCCGAGCCGAGCCGAGCTTTGGTCTTAACGGGCCAAGCCTGTATTTAAACGTGTCAGACTGGCCTTAGCCTGTTACCTATTACGAATATAATATTGGCCTGTGGTCTAGTTTATTTACAAAAAATAAAAGCCTGTGTTAAGCCTGTCTTAGCCTGTTAAAAATTAAAAATAAGAGATGGTGGTGGGGGTGCTGTGTGGCTGTTTTGGCTGGCGGTGGGTGTAGGTTGGGGTTTTGATGGAGATGGCTTCACCGGTGCTGTGTGCTGTCTTGGCTGGCGGTGGGTAGGGGTGTTAACGGGCCGATAAATATCATAAATTCAATATATATCATAAATTCCATAAATATCATAAATTCAATATATATCCAAACAGCATAATATATAACAAAATCATTCAAAAAGTCTATTTAACCAATAAAATGAGGTGAAATGAATTGAGGAGAAAGAGAGGCTATTGCAAGTAGTATAAAAAATATAAAATAAAAATATAAAATAATATGATAGGTCAGCCTAAGAGGCTCTAAGGCCGAGCTTTTAAATTGGAGCTTGAGGCCTTTTTATTAAACGAGCTTTTATACAAGTTCAAGTCTTGTGCCAACAACCAATTTTAGACATGTAAGCTCAGGCCTTCACGAGCCGAGCCAAAGGCCCCTGAAAGGCCCCAGGCTCGTTTAACACCCCTACGTGTCACTCTCTCCTTCATTCTTAGGTTTGTGTTCACACTTGGAAGAATTTGAAATGTTTCTTCTTTTGGAAATTTTTAAAATTTGAAATTTCAAATTGGTGGGTGGGAAGAATAGTTCAAAATATATAGTGGAAGACACATGTATTAATGATCCACTACTTTCTGCATGAGTAGGTGGAAAAGTATTAATATCCCATTACTTTTTGCATTGGTAGGTGGAAAAGTATTCAAATTCAAAATTTAAACTTAAAGGTGGGGAAAGAGGTCATCATTAATATACCACTACTTTCTGCTAATTGTTAACCCTATTAATATCCCACTATTGGGCTTAATTATTAAAAGATGAAATTATTTTGTGTATAAATAGGATATGTGTTACTGGGTCTTTTCATTTGGTAATTAATATACAAAATAAACGTTTTTATGATTTGCATTAACTTTTACGAGACAGACAAACATATTTCTTTTTTTCCCGTGCATCGCACGAGTTATACTTAATTTTGAAGGAGTTTTTTTTATGTAGGATGCTGATTTGGAACATTATCCAAGAAAACTTAACGTTCTTAATGAAAAGTCCATGTTATTTAAGGTCAACGTAAAAATAATAATTTGGAGTCATATAATGAGCCAAGATATCAAGTTTCAAGTGTTTGAAGCAGCGAAGCTATTTTCACCTCATTCTTTAAGTCTTTGGTGGACCCAAATGTATGTTGTTGTTTTTTAAAATTTTATCATTGTGGGTTCTTTATATTGTTACAAGTTTTTAGCATGTGTATTGATTTGATGCTGTTTAGACACATTTGTTCCAATGTAAGCAAAAAATATGACTCATACATGACCATTTGGTTAATTTGCTTTCAAATCCCTTTCAGACAATGTTTTTTGGGTTCTAAAACAAAAATAACCCTTTTTTTTGCTGAGATTATTACTTCTGGATGTTAACATATTAGCGTAATTTATTTAATGAGCATTTGCATTTTGTATTGTAGGCATAAATATGATGGTAGAAGAAGATGTCCCTGGTAATGCATAAAGATAGGAAATCACATGTTTGGTATGTGTTGAACTCATCTCTCCAATGATTGCTACAGAATGACACTGAATTAATAGCGTTTTCTTATTATAGGTACAAGCTGATCTTTTAATTCCATATTTGCTTGGTCTGTTTGTTACCTTGATTTTATTAGTGGCTGTTATAGTTAGCAATAAGTTGTATACATTTTTTTTTTAGCCATCCTCATTTTAACATAGTCTATTATGGCGTATTTAATTTTTACATAACTCATCGAGTAGATAACTATATTTGATTTGCATAATATTGATCACTCTGGATAATAGATTTTTGTTTATGGTTGACATTTGCAAAGTTCTATATCAATGTTGTAGTTTTTTTCATCTGAAATATAGAACAAGATAACAATACAGGTTTTTGTAAAAATAAGGTTTGCAGTGCGATTAACCAACCACGGTGGATGACAAATATTTTGTTCTTTTTCCCCCGGGCATCGCACGGGTAATTCACTAGTTATAAATCAAAACTAGATCCACATCTAAATACGCAATCCTGCTCTAATACCAATTGTAGGAGCATTTAGATCATGCGAAAGCGTTTAGACCATTGCGATTTGGATGTATATGATCATCATTGTTTACAATTACCTCTTATAGCGCATATATGAGATGATGCTCCATAAACTAGAGTCATTTGCGTCACAACACGAACTCACGAACTGATCTCCTTAGCGCCGTAGTACGAACAACCTCCTTGAAGCTGAACTATGGCAAATCTTCCAGACTATGTCTCAAGGGGAAATGGGAAGTGTGTGGGCACTCTCTCACTTTCAGAGAGATGACCTTACCTCAGTATCTGCAACCACCAAGTGAAGACTTCCAGAGTCTGATGATTATAAATGTAGAATATAATGGGTTTCAAGAAACCCTAACCTTAGCAGATTGAGCTTTAGGTTTCTTGGACTCTTCTTATACACTAGGTCATATTGAGTTTTAGTGAAAGAGCAAAACCCAGACAACTCAAACATTTGTGATAAGGGCTAGGGGTGTAAATGGGCTAGGCCGGCCTACAGGCGCCTACGGCTAGCCTATATTAGGCCAGACTTAGCCTATTATAAATAGTAAAATAGAATAGGCCTAGGCTTTTAAAAAAACTATTTAGAAAATAGGCCATAGGCTTTTTTGTACATATCGGGCCTTATAAGCTTACAGGCTAGCCTATATCATATTATTTATTTTAAATAAAATAAATAAAATTATTCATTTCAATAAATTTGAATAATAAAGTAATATTATTTTAGATATTTTTTTAATTGTTGAATGTTTAATAGGCTTAAACAGGCTAACAGGCCTAGGCTAATGCTTTTATTTTTTAAATGTAGGTCATGTCAGACTTGTAATTTGGGGCCTACACAGGCTAATAGGTCAGGCCAGACCCAATGTTTTTTTTATATACAGGCTTGACCTATTTAAGTCATAGAGCCTAGCCTAGCCTATTTACACCCTTAACGAGGGCACCCAATTATTTGTTGATTCGCTAACCATTTTGCCTTTTCCTATTTATTTATTTGTTCTGGAGGAAAGAAATAGATTATGTTAAGCAATAAGTATTTCAGATGAGACTCAAACATTTGTGATGAGGGCACCCAGTTATTTGTTGATTCACTAACCATTTTGTCTTTTCCTTTTTCTATTTTTTATTTTATTTTATTTTTGCTCTCTTGCCTCCTTATGGCCTACTTTCATCTGCATCTCACTGAATGTTCTATAATGATGCATTCACATTCAGCACTTTTTTGCTTTAGACTATGTTTTCAACCTCATATAAGGTTAGGTCTATATGGGAATTGAGCTGATGACATATTTCAACGGAGTTCATCAATTGTCATCTCCACATCTATCCCTCAGCGAGGTTAACTCAACCGATAAAATTAAATAGTATCGATAAATTAAGTCTTGTTATATGCTTTAACTTTGAAAGGGATAACTTTTTTCCTAAACTTTTAATTATAATAAAATCTTCCACTCCTATCTTAAAATAAATTCACTTACCAAATAACCCTGGTACTTAATTAATGGCCTAAGATATGAATCACTGTGTATTAGTAATAATCAAAATACTTGCACGTAAAGTTTAAGTTCAGTTTATTAAATAATTCGATAATGGTTTTCTAGGCAAAATCTAGTAATTTCATTAAAAAAATACTTGCAAGTAACGATAATTTTAGAAATATATTTCAGTTGAAAAATATTTTTACAGAAATTAAAATCAAAAGCTTTGAAAAAAATATTGTAGTCTGATTCTCTTGGTCGAAGAATCAGTGGGTGATAATGAAATAAGTGAAGTGCATTTCTTTGACTTTTACCCAACAAAAGAAATTATACTTAAAAATAAGTTTGATGGACGCAATTTTTTTTTTTAAATGAGATTAACAAAATTAGTCCCTCAAAATTTAAAAAAATATTATCATATTTTTCCTTTGAATAGACTAAAATGATTGATAATATAAAAGTAAAAATTTGATAATTGTTTAATATTTTTGTAGGACTAATTTGACTAATTTAGTGACATATAATTTTAAATGAAAAATTCAAAAATTTACCCAATAAATTTTCACATCAACACACTAAAAATAAATTATTTTGTAAATAATGTTTCTCACAAATCAAATCAATACAAATTGTTTTTTTTTTTTTTAATTCTACACAAAGAAAAACAATAAATATCACAGAAAGAAAAACTTGAAAAAAATAATAAATAGACAGGGACACAGGGATCTAAATAAATTTGAATTAATATATTAAGGCGATGATGCCAGAGTCATCATTATTAAAAAGAAAGAATGATAAACATATGCTTATTTTCCTTCTTCTTTTTTTGTCTTGCCCTTTTGATATGCTTATTGTCTTTACAATTACAACAAATTATCCAAACAATTTGATTGTGCAGAAATTAAAATAAAATAAAATAAATGAACCAAACATTTGGCCACCCTTCTCTGGTCATCACTTCTTCTCTGATCAATGTCTAGCCGTCAACAAAATAATCTTCCATATTCACAAACTGAGAAATAAGCCTGTGTTTTCAATGAAATTGTTACGATTATAGCATTAATTATGGTTACGACTGTAGCATTAATTGTAGTTTGTTTCAGGGTTCAAAGTCATCACAATGGAACATAGGGGGCACAAAGGAATTTAGCTCACTGAACATGATATCATCATCCCCTTCTCCATATCTGTTAGAATCTTCACACTCAAAGTATGTCTGAATGTCATCGGGAAATGTGCATGGCGGCAACTCAGACTCCGGCGGCGGCAGTGTCGACAAATCCGCGGCAGATGTCATCTCCATCATCTCCTTAAACTTGGATGACTGGAGCAAAAGTCCTAGGGCTGACGTGGCAGCAGCTGGCCGAGGCTGAGTCAATGTTGCTTCTTCCACATTATTGAATGGTTGTTGACTGTGGAAGAAGTTGATCCCTTGTTCTTCGTTAGGGTTTGGAGTGAAGTTGGTGTTACAATTAGGGTTAGAATCAATAAGATTAGAGCTAATTATGTTATTATCGTTATTGTTGTTGTGATTGGGCTTAAGCCACTTAATATAACGGCTTAGATCGAAATTGGTGACGGCGTTGAGTCCACGATATTCAATAGCTGCCATATCATATGCTGTGGCAGCTTCTTCTTGGGTAGCTGCCAAAATTAGAAACATGATCAATTTAAATTAATGCATATCATTATCATTATATACGTAATAGAAGGTTAGGTTAACAAATCAGTTGGAGTTGGTAGCACTTTTTATCCTATTGATTGCGACTGAAACATAATTTGGCACAAATATATACATACATGCACGGGATAAATTAATTAAATAATGATCTTCGTGAATGTTATAAATCAAAGTCATTGTTTAATTGCTCTTTCTATAAAGTTTTGGTTTACAATAATTGTACCAGTGGTTTAATTAGTCTGAATTGGTAAGTTTTGCAACTATCAAAAATCAGATGAATTGACACTTATGTGTAGTTAAAACTCGTGTAACTAATTTTACTCATTCGTGTGAGATTGGTGTGAAGGTCAATTTAGATTGTAATCCAGTGTTGTTGGCAAAGAGTAGGCAGAAAATGAATGAAAAAAAATAGCTAGAAGATTTCTAGGTGATGAGATCTTAATTACCATAAGTTCCAAGGTAAAGATATTTGTTGCCGAAAACCCTGCCAATCCGAGCCTCCCATCTTCCGTTATGATGGTGTCTGAACATTGAAAATCAAAGTCATGAAATTTTAATTAGAATAATGTCTATGCACATTAAAATCTTATTTTAGTTCCGTAAAGTAAATGAGTAATGATAATACTTGAATACAGTACCTCGCAACACCTCTGTATTTAGAAACTCCACGAGAAAAACCACTGCTTTTCCTGCAAGTATTTTATTTTTCAAAAGAATTCCTTAATACAAGCTAATTTTTGCAATAATCTCTTGAATCTTACAATAGAAGAAGCATTCAAGAGCCTTACCTCCTTAATGATCCAATATACTCCTCTCTTGATTGACCCTCCATTTCTTTCAACTCATTCTGGTAGATCGATAACTACAATAGAAAGACAAATTTGGTGTGTTTTATTTTCCCTTCTTAAAAATTAACGTTAATTACACAAATCACAAGTGAAAACCAACACGATGACTCAAAAGTGCTTTAAAACATAGGTACCGGAAAGTTAAGGATGGTTTCTTGACCCCAATATTTCAATGCTGCTAGATCGTAAGCATGTGCTGCCGCTTCTTCATCGTCATAAGCACCTGAAACATAGCATCCTCAATTAGTTACTTGGATGATTCTTCTGGTTTTGTTATTGATAATGGCAAATAATGTAATATTTAATATACAATAATTATCTACCTACCAAGGTAGACTGAGGTATCCAATGTGAAGAACCAATGCCACAAGGAAAAGAAAACAAACACATTAGCTAACTTCATTAAGCAACAAAAATTGTTTGCTAAACTAAGTAGGAAAAGAACCAAAATGTCAAGTAATTAATAGTAAAGGACATGAAACCTTGTCGTCCTTTCTTGTTCTGCGACTCATTCCAGCAATTCTTGTCCCACAAATGAGCTTCGTATCGGCCTGTCCATCGGTGCCTGATCTTGGTTCAATGAACACTTATTTTAGCCAATTAAAGTGAATGCATAAGATCAAGGGAACACAAGTAGTAGAAATGAACAAAATCACAAATAAACATTTTTTGTGTGAAGATATATTCCAATTGATTCATCACTTCACAATTAGTTCGATTCGAAATAGATACTGCGATTAAGGTTTTAGATCCTCCTAAAGATGAGAAAGATTAAACTGTCACCCTCATCTGCTCAGTTCTCTGACGGCAACTGAACTACCATCGTTTGATAATCACGAGTAAACATTGATTCAAGCATTAACGAGTTCGTTTCCATTAACGATACATCTCAAATTCGAGTACGTGAATGGAGAAAATGATTTTGAAAGAGTTATCTCAATATATTCCAACGGAGATTGAATCGAATTATTCGGTAATAACAGATGGAGAAATTAAAATAAAATAAAAATCAAAACCAAATATTTGAGAGAGAAAGGTAATAAAAATTGATTAGGGGACCTAACCTAGTGACTCCTCTGTATATTGAGCTGCGTTGAGGTGGGGTATCTCTAGGGACACTTCTCCTTGTTCGTTTGGTCTTGGTGGTGACAGTGTTAGTTACGTCAAGGTTATCATTATTGCTTGAATTGTTTTTCTGGGTTTTCTGCTGTGATAGTTTCGCCATGGAAAAGTGTGAAGAGTCTATGAAAGCCTAGATACTAATAGGGGAAAAGAAAATAACTTTAAGGATATATAATGACGTAGTTCTCCAACGAAGAGGGTTATAAAGGGAGAGAAAAAGAATGGAGTTAGAATAGTTTGTGCTGGCAATTACACAGGATAGCCGGCTAAAGATGGTTTTTTGTGGCCGTCTGTGAAACGGCTCTCATGTTAAATTCCTTCTTCTTTGTCTTTACTCAGATTTTTGTGTGATGTTTCTTTCAACCGTTTTGGAATCTGTTTGATGTATCTGCTGGTCTCTTAATTTATAAGTTCAAAGAGTTTGTCCTTTGTTTTTTTCCCTCACAAAAAAATATATTTAGTTTGCATTTTTGTCACTTTTCCCATTTTATAATTGGTTAAAGTTAGAGAGATGGGGAAGCAAAGGAAGAAGTCAATTATATGATGAGATTGCATTGTGATCAAAAATTGGTTAGGATTAGATATTCTATTAGTTCCTTCTCTGTCATTTAAAAAAAAAGGGTATACTTTAACGTTGTTTTACAAATGTTTTAAAAAACAGTAGATGGTGACTTTTTTTTTTTATACCCTGACATTACTTACTCTTTTGCGGTGAGTGTACTGTTTCAGATTTTTCCACAACCCTATTGAAAAAAGAGTTCTGCACAAATATGAAACTAATCTCAAGTGTCCATTCTCCCATACTAGTATTTATATTGTTACTTGGATCAACTCTCAGGATTTATAATGGTGACTCTAAATTCAACATGTTACGACTATTAAAGTGCTTCCATAAACCAAAAATTTGTTAGCCAGGCTCATTATTTCTACTATTAAAAAAATGATATATATATATATATATATATATATATATATATATATATATATATATGTCGAGTTGATCAATTAAAATGTATGAAAAATTTGAAAAACATAAAAATTAAGAATTAGTTAATTTAAAATTATTAGGATTGCTTTCCTGGCGAGAAATTTAGATAGTTTGCATGAGATTATAAGCTCGAATCTCAATATCATTATTGTATATTAAAAATAGAAAATTTGGTTAATTCACACACATGGAATTGGTTAATTCATGATAGTAAACGAAATTGATCATTTACTACTGGGGGCTGAAACTGGGTCGGCCCGGCCTACAGGGGCTTACGGCTCGGCCTACATCAGGTCAGACTTGACCTAGTATATTTCGTAAAATAAGTCGGGCTTGGGCCTTGACAAAGCTTGTTTAATAAAAAGGCCGTAGACTCACTTTCACAAGGTCTGGCCTATAAGCCTGCAGGCCGGCCTATATTGTATTATTTATTTTAAATAAAATAAAATAGAATAAGTATGCCTTCAAGAAAAAACAAAATATATAAATTTAATCAATTGCAATTATTTATAACTTAATTATATTCGATTATATTTTAATAGAAATCTGACTTTATTTCTTACGTAGGAGGAACCAACATCTAAGCATGTTAGATTGTGTATATGAATATATTAAAAGATTTTTGGGAGAGGTTATACTTACGACAAGCATCATGATGTGTTTGTTGGATTCATGTAGTTATTTTAATTTACATAGTATGAATTTGTTTGTTGGATCTGATGAAATATATGTTATTTAGTTTGAGCATTTTGCTTTAGAAAGTGACTTAAATGAAGATTGTATGAGTTTTGTTATGATTAATGATTCTGTTTGGACGTTAAAATTATGATTTTTGGTTTAGCAATAGAATTTGAATATTTTATAAAGTTGATTCATGATTATGCTTGGAAGTTAAAAATTAACAGGCGGCTAGGCCAGGCCATTTGTTTTTCTTTAAACGGGCTAAGTCAGGCTAACAATTAGACTCGTACTAGGCTTGAGCCAGGCCAAATTGAAAAATTTTAACGTAAGCTGGAACTTTTCGAGGCAAAGCTTGACTCAGCCCAGCCCAGCCCACTTTCATCCTTATTTACTACTTTCAAAACTTTTGTAAGGTTATACCTCATGTTCTCACTTATAAATTTATTTATTTTTTTAGATACTAACAAGTATCTGAAGTCGTAACGGGCTCCACTAATCCCGTTTTGGGTTTGATCGTCTCTTCACTTTTCACAAGAATTGTAATTTTCAGAAATTAAACTCATTATTTTTTAAACAGGTGAAATCTTAGGATCTAATTTTCAGAAATTAAACTCATTATTTTTTAAACAGGTCAAATCTTAGGATCTAACTAGACTCCCAATAAACCAATTACTCTTGGGTTTATGAAAATACTTCAATAGTTGCAACATGTTGAAAATACTTCACTAGTTAGTTTGTTGAATAAACCTTAAGAAAAATGAAAAAAAAATCTTCAAATGCAATAAAATTATGCAATGTACCGGATCTTGTAATACTGCTTCGCTAAGCTGGTGGAAATGTGAGCGGTGAGCAGTTCCACCATGTAGGTGTAACTAACCCCACATTGCTTGATTTAATTTTAGGGATTCGTTGAAAAAGTTGTGTTACTTTTAGGTCTAGGGAGGGCCTACTTTTACATCATTTCTGAATGCGCGAGCTTTGAAAAAACATCAAGGTTGGTGGGGCCTAAAGAAGCAGCACTGGTTGATTATGAGTTGATGGACATGGAGTACCTGCGAAGTTAGTTATTAGAGGAATGAGCATGCATTAATTAGTCATGGTTCCATGTTTAGTAGAAATTTGGTAAACAAACTATCGCTCATATTTTCAAACTCCATAAATATGCGGATCACCTAATGAGCTGAAACCACTTAACAGGCTACCAAATAACGGTCTCGGATCCCGAGGATTATCTACAAATTAACAGGTATCTCTAGCATTAATTATACTCGTATTTTTTACATTTAGATAAAATTCAAAAAAATTAAATTAAAAATATTTTAAATTGATCCGTCCAATAAGGATTGAGCTTGATCACACCAATGGCGGACCCAAAGGAGGGGTGTGAGTTGGCAGTCATCCCTACCTAAATTTTGATATTTTTTAATATATATATATATATATATATATATATATATATATATATAATGATTTTTTGTAATAATAATAGATTATTAATCGTAATAATTAGTCTCTTCCTAAAAAATATTTGTAATAATTAGTCATTTCTATTAGTCTTAATAACATTTATAATTTTGATATTTATTTGCGTCCCTTAACATAAAAAATCATAGGTTCGCCATTAGACCACACATGATTGAACATGGTTCAATAGCTAACTAGGTTTTTGCTGGAGTGGGTTTTCTTGGGTGAAGACTCTGTGGGATGCTTCTGCGAGATAGCGGATTTGAGGCTGGGATATCTTGATTGATTGGGAAAAATATGGGAAGTACTTGCAAGGCACTCTGACGCTTAAATGAGTATTTAAGTTATGAGCTTAAGTCTATTATATAGTGGTTGATTGTCCTGCTTATAACGCCATGGCAACATTAAATCTCATTGGTCGGTTGAAGTGGCTCTTGCAGGCTATATCCGTGTGTTGATGTCTATTTGTGGGATACGCCTTATATGTGTAATTGGAACTAGGTGTCTGTTCCATAGTCAATGGCTATTAGGGTGGAGTAGAGTTTTGAGCTGTTGATGCCGAGTGTCAGAATGCCTGCAGGATTATATTGACGTGGGATGGCCGCTATAACACCTCGTATTTCTAAATGTATAATTATATGTGAAAATGTGGATTAAAAGGGTAGGATTATTGAAAATCCCAAAATTAGGGTCAAAATACGTAAAAAGGGCAAAATGGTCATTTACCAAACACGCAACCCTGGGCATGAAAAATTGAGTAGAAGGTCTCAAATGGTAAAAATAATGCCGGAAATGGATTCAGGACAAAAAATCAAGTGGACAGGCAAGTTTCAAAAAAATTGATGAATAGTGATTTTTCCGGCGTAAAATACTGCGGTATAATTGTACCGATAAGTGCGAAAATATGATCAGTATTTTTAGGAGGTAAAAATATGATGTGAATGAGAAAAATATGTAGATTATGGATTTGTGGGTTAAATTGGAAGATTTAAGAAAGTAAAACGATATGTGAGACCCACTTAAGTGGATAAAGAGACATGAAAAATCAGATTTCTCCCACTTTCTCTCTCCTCCCTCTTCTTCCTCACGCGACCCCTTTTCTCCATTGTTGGGGTTTTAGCTCCTTGAATTACAAATCCACTTTCTAGCCATTTTTGAGAGAAACTTCCAACTACAAAGTTGTTCCCCTTGAGATTGTGAGTGACTTTCATGTAGAGTGCATCTTGTGGGGAGCATTGTGGAGGGAGAAATCCTCCATATACAGCCACAAAATTTTGTGTATTTTGGAGAAATTTTGGTGACTTTTGAGTTGATCCATTGGTTGGAGATCACTCCCTTGAATCCTAGGGAGCTATTGGTGGTAAGTTTTCTCACTATCATGGAGTTTTTATGGAGATCATAAAATGAGGAGGGTTTTGATTATGTGTTGATGAGTTGTGGTAGTTAGGAGCATTAAATGGTATGTCTCCTTTGGAATTAAATGCTTAGAATGATAAATGATGATGATTGATGCAATAAAATTTATGGTGATTTGTAAAGTTGTAACTTAGTAAAATTTTGAGTTGAATTTCAATACTTTCTAAAGTGGCGTAATGATGGGATTGGAAAAATTGAGTTGTGAAGCATTGATATGGGTTAATAAGAGGATTGTAAGGCATGTGTAAGTGTTGAATTGGATTGAAAACATTGAAGCATGATTCCATTTAGAATTTGACCTATAGGTTGGTTTAAGGAAAAATGAGGTGATGAGTGTTGTGTAATCAATGGTTAATACCTTGGTGCATAAAGGGTGAGTTAGTTTGATGATTGAAATGATTGAGATAGTTGAAGAAATGAAAAATAGCCCTTAGGCTTAAGTGGTTATGTTGGTTAGTACTAATGTGAAGTTAATTGATTATACGCAATTGGTTGTTGATCGTTGTTGTTTGATCAATATAGGTTACCTCGCACGGAATCAATAAAAGTTGATT